CATCATTATGCTACGTAATCCCCCGAAAATTCAAGAAATTTTGCCATATTTTTATATGTTGATATATTGACGCGGTATCGATCTATTTTACTAACAAAAGGAATTCGCAAAATATCACGAGAGTTTGTAACAGAACGATGGAATTTCACGAGATTTTGAAAGTAAAATAGACTGATACCGCGTTTTTAAAAATCAATTTGATTTCAGCATATGAAAATATATTTGAGTATATTATTTTTCAAAGTGTCAGAAATGGATAACAAAACTGCTATTTTCAATGACTACTTATTTTGTCCAGCTTTAACATCGGTATCGATATTGGTTATCGGCTACATGAGTTTTAAAATATCGGCATATCGGATATCGGCCAAAATCCCAATATCGTGCATCCCTACTTCTAATTGAACTGATCTGTATGTCACGGGTCGATTGGAAATGGTAGCCTGATCCGTACCATCAGCTCAGTTGCGCAACCAGAATACATCCGGGTCGCCCTTAATTGTGCTTTATAGAAAGACTGAAAATATCCCAAATTATAATAGGCGTACTAAACTACAATGTGTAAAAGGTTAATAATAAATTTTGTAAGACAATAAATGTGTGTTTTTATCAGTCATCTGTGCCCGATCTGTCCCGGAAATTGGATCCTACCCTATTCCCAGCAGCCTTTTTTTTATATCAATGTCATTTTGAGTTTTAAACTTGCCTTTCTTTGTACTTTCATTGTATATTGTGCATAATCTAAAGAAAGTCAAGTAAAATGACGAAAATCGTGATGTATCATGTTTTGCATCCAGTTCTAAGAAAATTAGTTAAATCATTTTTATAGGATGTAGTTTAGCAATTTTATGATGATTTAATAATTGAAAAATCAGTACTTTTAATATTGTATTTATATTATTTATGGCGACCTGGATGAATGGCATGCACTCATGAGCCGATTGTGCTTCCATTAGAGATCGGGTCGTGACCGGATCCTAGCTGCAACTATCTTTTCCCCTCTGTGTGGCGGCAGACCCACTTTAAGCACATTACTGTCACCTATAGGGCTGGAGTGAGAAAGTGAGGGTCTTACTTTTGTTCAATTTAATGAGACCAAGTCCGAGGGCCTCTTTAATTGAAAATATTAATCTAGTTAAACTGGGATTCTACTGCAAGTGGAATTCATTGCTCGGCCCTAGTCTGGAGCCTTTTACAGGTTCTTCCTCCCAGCAGTTAGACTATATAATCATCACTACTTCTAAGAAACACAAAGTGTTTCGTACTTCTGCTAAAGCTCTTCTTGAAACAACCAAATCCTTCAATACAATGTATGCAGAGCAGCCAAAAGGTCTATACTATACAAATAATGGTTATAAACAGAAAAACTACTAACAAAATGTCCTATTTTTCAGCAACTTAGATTAATACCAGAGAAATCAGATGTTCTTTACTGAATATAAATCAAATCATAAGAATTCATGCATGCAGCCTCAACTTTAACCTGCAGGGTTCAGATGGCAGGTGAACCCTGTCAGCAGAACATAGCTGACCCCCATCCCATGAGGACCAACACGGCCCACAGACAGATGTCAAGCCATCTATCCTGCAGATATTGATCCCTCTTTCACACTTTCAATTACGAGTGATTAACTGCAGCGACACTTTGCCCCAAATTGCCTCAGTAACTGCTTTCCCTTAAGCCTCCACTAATCTAGATTTAGAAAAGCAAAATAAGGCTAGGGCTTCACCTTGCTATGGAAACAGAGCATCAACCAAAAGAACCCCCCCCCCCTCCCTCCCCCAGTTTAGCACAAGCGGCACCAAATCCAAAAGGGGTAGCTTCATTAGTGAGGCAGAGGAGTCGAACAGTTTGCCAAGTGTACAATTATCCATCCCTCATGGACAGGGGTCATTATGAGCGATTGGAAGCCATAAATAAATGATCAGTAAACAGCTCCCTCTGCCCAGAAGAGACTGCCTCAGTCTGCATGATGCCCCCCTCCCATCCTCAACTAACAGCTGAGACCAACACGTGCAAAAGATTCCTCCATTTGAGCTAAAAAAGAAACGGAGTCAGAGGTTAAAGAAGAGCTTAATAAGCCACGGTTACAAATTAGATTACGAGTCTTCCCGCTTTTCTCCTGGAAGGCTGGAATGCAGGACCACCAGAGCTTCCCAAACAACACCGCAAAAGGTGCTAAATTATGTTCTTAGAGGCGAATTCCACCGGGAAGACCCTACACGCTGCAGAGAAAACAAGAGGTTGTTTGGAAAGCCTCTGCAGAGTTGCATTCAAGGTGGTCTGTGAGGATAAGATCCCAGAGAGGGAGAGCGAGCACTGTAAGTGCGGAGGATTGGCGAATGTTTGCACATTTCAGCAAGTTGTTTGCACTGTCCACAGGGAGACAATCAGCACACAACTCCCTCCCAGGAGGCCTACGGAGATAAGATAGTGTCTAAATGGATTTTATACTCTTCTGACTGGGGTTTGTTTACAAAAGCCTAACTTATTAAAGCTTTCAAAAAATCCAAACAACTCCTCCAAAGCTGCAGAGGAGGGAAAAGAGCAGCAGGTTGGCTCAGATTTGGTGGCTTATATCAGAGAAGAGGATAAAAAAACTGGGTCTTAAACTGAAGAGAAGGTTAAACTTTTCAAGTTTGAGCCACAGATCTGCCAACTTTGACAGAGATAAGTTCAGGCCTCAGTCAGGACCTCAAAAAATGAGTTTTAAATAGACAGAAACTTTCAGAAGAACGGAAGGCGGGGGGGGGGGGACCCCACAATTAGTAACGTGAGACTCTCTGCGTGTGGGTCCCGGCCCAATTCTCTGGAATCAATCAAAGCTCCCAGAGGAACTCCCCGGACCCCTTAATCTCCTGGTTTTATTACTTTCCAGACAGTCAGCCTGTTTCAACCCTACCCCCATCTCTCTTTTGTACTAAACTCCACCAAAGCAAAGGAGGGGCTTTTTTTTTTTTCGTCTTTTTCCCTCCTCTCTCTCTTCCTTCTCTTCCACTGCTGCAGAGCGCTTTTCATTTAGCAGAGGGTTTTTCATCAGCCTCCACATGCAAGCGGGTCCAACAGCTAGCACAGGCCCATCACTTTCCGTTTATTCATCCTTTCAAACAACAGAAGATGCTTTCAGAGACGACTTCTTCTCACTACGACACATGAGCTATTTTGCATATCACAAGAATTAAGGGAGAGAAAGTGGGGCATGTTGCACAACAGTCGGAAATGTTCAACTTTTCCTGATGGCATGCTGTTGAGCTTCACTGTGCCTTCAAGCTTTGAGATAAATTAATGATATGACCAAAAAAACAAAAAGATTATAATCAGCTAATTTTCCTCTGATTCGCTCTTAATGGGCTAAAAGCAGGTCAGAACTACATGATGCTGAAAATCGGTATTAGGAGAAGCCTGATCTGTGCACATTGGGTGAAATCATGTCAACGTTTCTGCATGCTTTAAGAACTGCTGGGTAATCATGAGTGTCCCTTTAATCTAGAAGCTTCCCAAAATGCTGCAGAAACACATCTTTACTTTCACGCCAACAACTCGACTGCTCGTAACTTTAGAAAATAAGGAAGAAGCTAAAAACTTTCCTCCTGATTATCTATCCTCTAAGCATGTATTGATGCCGGAGTAATGAGATCTCTGTTGGACTGATGATGTGCTATGATTAGCTCACAGGTATCACTAATGAATATTTGCTTTAGAAATGTGTCAATCAGTTCTAATCTGCTATATTCAACTTGATCAATTACGAATAAAATAAAAAGAACTTCAACTATTTGGATTAATAAGCCAGAAGTTTTTTTATTAGACTTTATACAATCGATATCCAGGTTCCCTTAGAGGACTGATCCATTCATCAAAACTTTAATCTTTACCAGAGGTTTACTAAAATCTAAAAAACATTGCATCAGTATCAAGTTTTAAAACACATGCAGACTAAGAATGGTGAGAAGTCTTTGTTTTGCTCCACTGGCAGTTCTAGACAGGGGCCCGACCAGGGCCAGTGCTCCTGTTGAACTGGCCCTGTGCTAAAGACATAATACAAAATGAATTAAAGTTAAATATTAGAAAATATGCTCTCGAACCGAAACTGCAACTGATAGGTCTGAACAAATTTCATTTTTTTTTTTTCTAAACAGTTTTATATATAGTTGTACTTCAGCTTCAGGTTTCTAGAGCTGCAAATGACTCTTTTAATTCACTTAATACGTCAAAAGATGAACCTTTTCCCTATTTTTGCTTTAACGCTTTTGCTTGATGCTTCCATAAAACAGCACTAGTCCCACCCTGGCCCCCCTGGTAAATCTGGCATAGAACCACCCCTGTTTGGATGTATTTAAGGAATTGAGAAAGAAAGGAAAATATGCTTTGATGCTGAAATGGCTCTAATCATATAATTATCTCCTACTCTGCTAGATTCCAAACCACTAAACCAAATAACCCGCAACTGATTTTTTTCTTTCATATATCCATTTATAAGCATTTTGATGAAAGAAAATGAGCCAAATAAAAAAAAACAAAAATAAAAAATAGCACATCAGACAAAGATAATCTAAAATAGTTATTGGTCAGGAAAAGGCAGATCAGTGCACCACTGCTTATTTGGCAGAAAGCATCACAGATACATGCAGACATGTTTCACAAATAAATAAATAAACATCTACAGATGTGTTTTAGGAGCGACAGTGTTGGAGGGGAAGCGGCTACACCGCATGTCTGCATGTTTCAGCCCAGGTAGAAGGAGACAAAAGGAGGTAAGGGGTTGGTTGGCAGCATGTTGAGCTGATCTGGCTGTGGAGAAGTAGCCTACTTTCAAAGTTAATGGGCGGCTGACCTAAGCGCAGCTCAGAGAGCGCCTCCAACATGGCTCATTTTCACAGAACCTTTCCTTTCCTTTCCTTTCCTTTCCTTTCCATGCGTAAGAGTTTGGTTTCAGAGCCAAAGCCGCGATCCACCTATGCGAGGAGGAAGAAAGCAAAGCAGCTCAGGATGGCTTTACCTTTATCGACATGCTTTGCCGCGGTGGTCTGCGTGAAGAGAAAGGTGAGACAGAGGAGAGAGAGGAGCGGCACGGCTCCCCGCTCGGCCATCACTTTTCACCAACAAATCTCTGCAGGCTTCAGGAACCACGGAGATGATGATGATGTTCAAAAGCTTCCCCCTAAAATAAAATATATATCCTTAGAATCCCAGGCAAACCTCCGGCAAATGCACCATGGAGGGTTTAAAAAAAAAAAAAAAGTTCAAAGTCCTAAAATGTGCAAAAACATCCACATCCAGGTGGTTTCAGAGGTCCTCTGGTGAAACATGCAGCTGGAAGGAGAGAGCCGCAGGTTAGAGACTCTTTTCTCAACTTGGTCGGAGCACAGGTCGTAAAAAAAAAAAAAAAAGAAAGAGAAAAAAAATTGAGATCAATCCATTGCTGGCGGAGGCGCAGCCTCGCAATGGTTATAACGCGCGCTATTACGCACGGAACGGATCGCTGGACTCCAATATGTGCCAGAAACGCAAAACAACAAGGAGAAGAAAGAGCTCCGTTGGAGTAAAGATAAGATCCGAGCAGAGGAGAGGAGAAATGTGTGCGGTGGGCAGCTCACTGCTCAGGGACGGGACGTAGTGAGCGGCGCACTGAAGGGCTGGATCTGCGGCTCCCCGGAAAACAGGGCGCGGAGCGCGACTGAAGCTGGGATCCTCCTCACTGCCTTGGAGCGCAGGGAGGAACTAAAATCTGGTGTGGGACTGCAGACAGACAGCAGCAAAACAACCCAACCTGTATGGAGGAAAAACTGCCATATTGAAAAATAAATACATAAATAAATAAATGCTCAATAAATAAATAAGCATATAATTAATTGCACCGAAAATACAATAAACTAATAAATGTAGATAGAAAATAAATTATACAGTGAGGCAGAAATGTATGAATCTCTTTTAATTAGCTTCTTTATCTATTTGCCTTTGTAATAATTATTTATTTTTTGTCCCTTATAATCTTCAACTTTATTTATATATTACTTATTTTTAAGTATTTATTTTTTTGCATGTGATAATATATTTGTCTATTCTTCCTTTGTAACTTTTACCGCATTTATCTCTTCCATGCTACCGGTATTTATTTCTGCCTATTGTTTTTACATTTCTGTCTGCATTTCTGCCTCGTTATGCAAATGAGGAAGGCTGTGTCTTAAAGGGTCAACTTCTGCCCATTGCTTGGAGGCCCATCTTTTTAACTCACAGAGCTCAGAATATTAAGTTAAAAGTTCTCTTTTCTGTTTCATTTATTCATATCTGTATTTCTTTTATTAAATATGGCAAGTTGGTCCTCCATAAACCTGAGCCTGCTGGGTGATTTCACCATATTACCAACCTTTGAACAGCAATCAGCTTTCTTTTGCTTTTGCTTTTAAGGTGAGGCGTCACTGCAAATGTTTTAAAGTGTTGTTTATTTCTAACACAATGTAAATGATATCATGAAATGGGTCATGAAGTTAAAAACCAATGAGCATTTCTGAAAATGGTTCCTGCAGGGGCGTAGCCAGAAAATCTTCGCAAGGGTGACCAGGCAATAACCAATGTAGACTGAGGGGGGGCCGAAAGTTGATAGGAGCCAGAACCTCAGGGTCAATCTACATCAGGGGTCTTCAACGTTTTCCAGACCAAGGACCCCCAAACTGATATCGAGATGGAGCGAGAAACCCCCTAACTATATATATTGTATGAAATTGTGTTATATCAAAGTGGTTCTATAGTGACTCTATTAAAGATGGAGTAATTTCACCCTGGGATTATTAAAGTATTTCTGATTCCTGATTGATGGGACAGGTGTTGTGAATGAAATGGTGCCCAGCTTGAAAGAGCTCCTGTGTGTCGCTGAATGTGTGCATTAATGACTGAAAGACATCTTCTGCCTCCATTTATCGGTTTACTGCAGTGTGTTGAATTCATGTTAATGTGTATTTAAAGACATTGCAATTAGTGGAAAAAATTGCAGGGGGGAATATATAAAAAAAGACTAATCATGCAAAAGTTTCACGACCCCCATGCAGTACCTCTGTGGACCCCCTAGGGGTCGCAGACCCCCTGTTGAAGACCTCTGATCTACACTGTTCCAAGAGGAAAATGAATGAGCACAACATCCATATTTTCTAAATAAAGACAAAATATCCTTTCCTACTCCCTTTCCTAACAAATAGACTCATATATTTAAACATATTTCTAGATAAAAGGTATAGTGGATACAATTCTTTCAGGTTTGAGTTCTGGGGCGAACATCTTTTCCTTTGTTATTAGTTACTTTTATCAATAATCATTCTGCAAAAACAATAATATTTACAAGTACTAATATCTACATAAATTGATTATTTAATACGTCTCTATTAAAATAGTTATCTATGATTTCACTGGATATTCCTATGACTTGCAGAGAGAGATAATTTTCTCTTTACCCCATATAACACAAAATCTAGTTCTGAAAAGAGCATGAATTCTGTATTTATCATCTTTAATGTTAGTATATTGATGTGCACAATTAACCACAGGGTTTTTGTTGTCAAGTAAATGTTATTCAGGAAAAATTAAAATGTTTTGAATATTCCACTTGAGAGTATTACTGCTGCCGCCGTCTGTATTACAGTGAAATAAATGGTACGGGTGGCCAATGATAGGCTAAGGGTGGCCATTGCCCCCCATCTAGCTCCGCCCCTGGGTTCCTGGACATTTAGGTTAAATGTGCTCTAAGTCTGATTAAAATTCAACCTACTGCTAATATTAAAAAAAAATTGAAGTTAGATTGACTTGCATAAAATAATACTAATCTTAGTACGTAATTGGGATCTTATCTAGTCTCAAATGAAGATTCTGCAATCACTAATTCATTGCTTCATCAGTTAATCTCAACACCCTTTACCTCCATTATTTATGCCTTTTATATAGTAATACTGAGGACTTTTTATGCAAAATAAACTCCTTGAGTGTCTGGGTATGGGACATTCTGCATTAACTAAATTATATTTAAACATATACATATTTAACATCCCTTTCTGAACAAAAGGTGCTCTAGGTAGTATAATTAAACCAATAAAATAACAGGAGAGACCTTTTAAAACATTTTGTAAAGTGGAATAAAATCCATTCCTGGTTGTATTACATTAAGACACGCCCACGTTTATTCCCAGCCAAAGCAGACCCAATCACAAAGCTATATCAAATCAAATGCTCATGATTAGAACATGATTTCTCAGCATTTTGAAGGAATCATTAAACCTTGTAAAAGAAAGTTCTGTGTTTCTCTCCCTTCTCTCTTTCTTTCTCTATTCTTTCCTTAGAAGAAATTACTCGGAACAAATAATTTAAATCAGCTCTTTATAAGGTTTATGTATTAAATTACTATGAGACATGACAACATATTTGGACAGAAGGTGTAATCGTACTCAGACCAGACAAATGGCCCAGGTTACATATGGCAGAGCTTACCACCGGGCTCGGTTCTTCAGAAAGTCGGCCCAGAATAACAGTTAAAGAGGCATTTTATACACATAGTCTTACATCATTACATCATACACGTTTGTACAAGAGGAGACTTTATTGTGTCCAGCTATATCAAAATAATACAGTGTTCTAGATCAAGGACAGTCCGAATGCACAGTGAGAGAAATTATTGATATAATGAAGATGATAACTTTCTGTCCTGACAGAAGAACTGTCCTATTTAGAATATTAGCCTTAACACGTAACAGGCAGGTATTGTTAGGGTTTAACAAGCACATACATGAATGATAGCAAATAAACCTAACAGCTTTAGATATTTAGGTTGGTGCACTCCCAACTGTGAAAGTAAATGTGAACCACATGGTGAGATTAAAGGTATAATGGAGGATTTTCGCGAAATTTTGAAAAGACCTGCCCTCTCCACTAAAAAAAAAATGCACATGCACAACCCTGTACCCGCTCCCATTAGAGAATGCCTATTAAGCGCATGCAGGAGCGTGCATGAGTCCATTTCTCCTCGTGAACGCTCTGTTTAAAAGTTGCGGCTTTCATCCCTCATATAAGCTTACTTTCCAAAAGAAGATTTGCAATTTTTCCACTATGTCAGACTCACCAGCGGTAAGTGAAAATGGGATTGAGCTCTTAGGACGGCCTTATGTAAACATATCACCAGAATGATTGACATTTATGGAGGACCACTTATTTAGATGATCCACCTGGAAAAAGAAGATCCTCCACTATAACTTTAAACATAGCTTTCTGAGGCCCTTAGAAGGAAGACTGTAAATATGAGTGTGATAAGGCATTTAAACAGATCTCAGCAAATCAAATCAGCAGTTTCACTGCACAGAAAACCATCTACATGACTACTGTGAAAGTAAAATAAAGTCCAGGCAACCTGAACAAGGTTTGTCCAATTGCAGTTTCCAAGAGAGAATGTAAACAAAGACCAGAACTTCTGAACTGAACTTCTTCAGACAGATGAGTCTAAATTGATTTATTTAAACACAGAAACAGAAGACATAAATAGACCAAAGAAACCTCAAACCAGATGTGAAACATGGGGGTGGGAGTGTCATGGTTTGAGTCTGCTTAGCTGCAGCGGGAGCTGCTAATCTCACCATCACAGAATCCATGAGTTTTTTTTAGATTGTTTTTTAGATAAGAGAAATTTAGAATGAGAAAATTTCAAGTCAAAGCAGACGTTGCATGGAAACTTTGAGACATGAGAATAGTTTGGTATTTTTATATTAGTATAAATTAAGCTTGTAAGGTGGCATTTCTGTATTCTGCGCCCACATGTCTCAATTTACGAAAGGTCTGGTGGTTAAAGGAACTGGTTTCATTAAATCAATTTAAACCCTTGCTCAAAGGTTTGGATATGTTTTTAAATAGGCTTATGAACTTGTCATGAAATTGTCTATAATATACTGAACTACTGAGATATGTGTTACTGTCTTGGAAAAGGAGATCGCTGATCTAAATGGGACTTTCCTGGTTAAATTAAAACATTTATTATTATTATTTACCATTCTTGTCTCCTCATTTTTATAAAAAAGGGAAAATAAAAGTCAACCAGTGTGCCAATAATCTGCTATAACATAAATCTTAAAGCTACCTTATGAATAAAAAACAGAAATATGATGTTAATGTCAGTTTTAAAAAGTTTTCATGTTATTATGGAAAATGACTGTTTGGGATCCAATAAAAACACAGGGAAAGAAGTCAAAATAGATTCTCAGTGATCCAAAAAGTTCAACAGCAGGGAGTTTCCATTATATTCCCATTGTGAGCAGCAGGTCTTCCCTTTAAGTAGCTGTACAGATGATGGCTGGAAGTCATGAGATGGGATTCAGTTCCTTAGGTTTTAGATAAAGTTGCTAAAAAAAGTATCCCAGTTATTTGTGTAGTTTTAGGACAAGGAAATAAAAATAAAGATGTAGGACATTTTCTGATCAGCTGATTGTGTTGTTAGCAGTTAAATGGATCAGAACTCAGAAAGCCCCATGAACAGTTGCTGTATTCTCCTTCAGCTTGTGACTTGGCTTTAGGGAGAATCAAAAAGTGCACTGATGAGTTTGTTGAGCCGTCACTGTTGTATCTTCCCTTTACTCACTGAACAGCGCCCCCCGCT